CCCTTCCTCACTGCAGGGAACATGAGGTTGGACAGATGGAGTAGGGCAAAGTTACTCAAAAGATTTAATCCACCCACAAGAGAAATCCATTGTAGGTGCCTGAGAATGTTGATGGAGTGATGACAATACTTTTTTAAGAACATTCGTCTTGCATTAGTGAACAGATCTTAAGTGACACAGCACTCAGCCAAGAAAATCACTTCAGACGCTGGTGGGGCGATCTGTGAAACAAGTAATGAAAGCCTGGATTAGGGTTGTTGCACTGGGACTAGACAAAGAGAAACAAATACATCAGATATGACCAAAGGAACAGTGACAAAATTGGTGACTTGGTAAATGTAGGAGATAAAGAAAAGAATGAAGTTAAAAACAAAACCAGGTGTCAGTCAGAGAAAAACAGAAGGCATGGCTTATCACAGAGTTATCAATAAGACACCACTCCCCTGCCCTGCTCTCCTCCCCAGCCATCTCCTCCTCCTTTGCCATTTTCCAACATCTAACCTTATCCTTCCATTCATTCACATTGGGCTAGACAGTGGGTTAGGCTCCGAGAAACACAGGAATAGTAATAACAATAACAAAAAGCATTCATTAGGCCTTTAGTCTATGCATTCCAGGGACTATTCTAAAGGCTCTATATTTACTAACTCGTTCATCTCCCACAACCACTCGATAGGGTAGGCAACACTGTCATTCCTACTTTAGAGCCGAGACAAAGCCACACAGGAAATGGTGGGGCCTGGACTGGAACACGCGCTGTCTGACCCCAGAGCCCACTCACTTAACCACCTGAAAAGCCTTCATGCAGCTTCCATATTTTTGCGGCTTCCATCACAGTGAAATCCCAAGAAGTTTTAGAAAATGTGTGTAATATGGGAGTATCTTCAGGTTTTAGAGCCTCGAATCTCAGAAGCTCGCCAATGAGAAGATATGAGCCTTCTCTTGGTTTTTCTAATTCCTCAGCCATCTGGGAGGAGGGTAGCAAATCTATCAAACAGTTGTACAACTTTCCAGGTGGCTTTGACCCCATGGGTGGTGATCACAAAGGCACATTCAGCAGTTTGCACAGTCACAGGACATTCAAGCAAAAAATGTCTAATTCTCAAATTTTATGTGATAACTAGGAAATCTTAAACATTTAGCTCACCAACCTTGTCATCGTGAGATATAACCTGCATTACCAGATTCATCTCCCGGCAACTACCTAAATCATTCATTATATCTGAATTACCCAATCAGAGACAGAAACTTACACATAGAATTTTTCAACTTCAAAAGAGACTCTTACTTGAAACAAAATAATTTCCTTATAATAAGAAATCTCCAAATCCCAACAGTGAGGCAAGTCAGGCTGATAACATGCTTCAGGAGTCCCAGCCAAATTAACCCCATGAGAATAGCACCTATACCCATCCTTGACCCAAACATCCAGAAGCAATTAAAGAAGAAATTGATCAACTGAGTACATGAAAATAAAATACTATAAGCAACTCATCAATTCCAATATTCGGTATGCATTATGGATTGCCCCACCGCAGCTCTACTAAACCTGCCCTCTGGAAAGATGCCAAAGGTTCCTAATTGCCAAACCAAGTGCCTTTCTTCAATCTCCTTTCTCCAGTCTCTCTGGAGCCCACTCCACTGTATCTGGGTTCTCTCCTCCCTGGGTTTCCATGATCCTTCCTCCCTGGGTTCCCTAGCCCTAGGCGCCCTCCTTCTCGGTATTATTCTCTAGCTCTTCTTCCCAGCCCCTAACATGGCTGCAAAAGTTCAGGCTTAGACTGTCTGCTCATTTCTTTCTAAATTCCTTCCCTTAGGGATCCTAACTATCCCAAAGGCTGCTGCTTTCATCTCTCTCCTGAACTGTAATCCTACGACTCGAATCGCTGATACTTTCACAGGAATATCCTGGTGTTAGTACTTCAAATTCACATCTTAAACCACCTCATCTTCTCTTCCAAACTATTCTTTCACTGTGCTATCACACACACACACGCACGCACGCGCACACACACACACACACACACACACACACACACACACACACACACACACACACACACACACACACACCAGACTGTTAGAACCCCTCTCTTCACTCTCTCAACACCCTGTCCACACCTCAAGCAGCCCAGATTACCCTATTACATCATCTCTGATTCATGGGTATGTTTGTTTGCCTCTCCAAGTAGATTGTAAATTCCTTGGGGGCAGGAATTGTATCTTAGTTGCCTACACATCACTACGGACTTTTGCAGGTGCTCAATAAAATCTGTTAAGAGAAATTAACTAATGTGGATCATCTTTTCCAGCCAAACTGGTCCATTTAGTCTCTACCTGCTTGGCATTTTCACAGTCCTCACTTCCCAGAACAGTCCTCTCCCTGCTCCTGCACACGTGAAAAAATCCTACCCATCCTTCACAACTTCAATTCCTCCTGTACCATGTAACTTTGTCAGGTGGCCCCTTCCAACAAGACCCCTCACTCATCACACTTACAGTGGCAGTTCAGTGACATAAAACAGTATTATCTTTGAAGATACGTAGGCCCGATTCAAAATCAGGCTCTAGCATAAACCAGCTGTGTTACTCTGGGCAAATTCCTAAAGCTTTCTAAAGCTTCATTTTTTTCAGCTATAAAAAGAGGTAAAAAATACCTGTCATAGAGAATTTGGGGGAGGCATAAAGGAGAGTAACTGATCTAGAACAGAGTAGAAGTTCAGGAAATGTTAACTCCTCCCTACCCCCCCACTTCACTTCATTTGGATCATTTACATAGTGCTTAAGTTGATAGTGTGTGTTATGTCTCCTCCATTACATTGTAACAACTGTTAAGATCCTTAAGGGCAGAAACTGAATCTCATTCATCCTTCTATCTTCTAAACACCTATCAATGTGCCCTGTATAGAAACACAATAAAAAAATGAGAACAATGATATCACAGTTACAATAGGTTATGCCAATTAAGTGTAAATGGTGCCAAGACTAGGACGATCATAAATTTTCATCCAATTTAGTTGTAGAATTATTACAGTTTCACTCATGCCAAAGGCTGATTTCAACAAATGAAAGTACAAATAAAGACAAATCAATTTTTAGAGTGTACAATAAGTAATCTTCGATAATAACATTAAATGTGGCTTACATTAAATGTTATAGTCTGTATCAGAAGACTGTCTATATGAGTATTTGTTCCCATGTGCTTTTATGCAACGGTTTCCTTTCACATATTCTTTGATTTAATATGATTGTAACAGATCTCTTCATATCACCTGTTAACTAACTGAAAATAGACAGAGATTTTTATATTTTTCCACCAGGAGAAAAAAATTAAAGGCTAATACTGAAGCAAAACTGGTAAGATCAAGATCCAAATTTTATTATCATTACAGGTAAAATCTTTCCAAAACTCTCTAATTAAAGTGGTTTCCTTTCAAACTGCTTTCATTAATATCAAGGCTTCAGCATCCTTTCTGAACTTCCCGGGATCTTTTTTCTATGCTGATTTCTCATAGCCTTCCTTTACTATACATTATCATCAGGGATCAATTCCCATGGTTGGGCTTCACTTTTCTCTAACTACTGCCCCATTTGCATGTGCTAACAAGTTGGAAGAGCTGCAGTGTGTTGGGTAGTAACCTCCACTCTAACAATCAACTCTTCATTATGCTCCCAACCACACTCCCTCTCCCCGCAGAACTATTTCTATACTATTTCTATAGTTTTCATAAACTGGAAAGTGCAGCTATAGATTTCATTTGAAAAAGCAACTAGTAATAGAAGAGCATGTGCCAAACATTCTCCTCCCCTTTCAATATTTTCATGCTTCCAAGGTCATTTTGTTTTGATTTGGTTGTTTTCCCATGGGGAGAAGTTTATAAGAAATAGAGCCATTCAGTTCTAACAGCCAAAATCCACCAGAACAGAGAATACACACACACACACTGGCATAGTAGGAAAGAGCCAAAAGCCAGGCATCAAAAGATCAAGTTTCCCGGGATGGCTCAGCTAAAAAAAAATTAAAAAAATAAAAAAAAAATAAATAAATAAAAGATCAAGTTTCCAATCTCAGTTCAACCTCCTATTATATATCTTCAGGCAAAATCACAACTTTTCTCATCTTCAACTTCTTCTTCTCTAGAGATAATAATCACCACCCCTATCTCAGGAGCTTATTTCAGAGATTATGAAAGTACAACGTCACAAATAGCACTGTATAACTGTAAAATGTATGTGAATGAAATCTCTCTCCCTCCTTTCTTTCCTTCCTTCCTCCCTCCCTCCCTCCGCGCGCTCTCTCTCTCCCCCCCACCCCCAAACTGTGCTTTCATGGCTTTAATGTTTTATACATGGCAACTTTTGAACATCTGAGGAGCCCCCAAAGCACCCTACCCCAGAGCTCAACCCTGCCCCCTGAGCTAAATCCTCCACCAATTCTGAGGGATGACCCTTCGTTTAGCCTATGTGTTTTATTTTCTTTTGAGTTGCTTACACTTTTAGACAAGAGTTCTATGATAACATGATTCTGGCTGACTGTATGCTATTTGTTGTTCCAATTAATCAAAACTGTTCAAAACATGAATTTGAAAAATCTTACTTGAACCATAATTTTGTAGCTAAAATTCTTTTTCCGAACTTTGCAAACCTTCTGTGCAACCTAAATTAGTGCTGAGATCAAACTGGATTTTAATAGTTGCTCAATGTGCTTCCAAAGGTGAAAAGGTATAATGAAACATATGCTGATCTGAACTACACCCATTTTCAATTTCAACACGGCAAACCTCCTGTTTAATCTTAAGGGAAATTTAAACCCATACATATTGGGAATGATTATTACTGAAGATAATTTATGCAACCAGGAGCCAAAGATGCCAAGTTGACAAAAAGAAACCATGCAAGTAAGCAGACTCTAACACATGTGGGACACACCTTCTCAGTATATAAGGGCTTGTCACTGTCCTTGGTAGCAGCAGGCGCTCCCTGGGCTAAAGAGCATCACCATGTCTGTTAAATACAGCTCAAGCAAGCAATACTCTTCCTCCCGTAGTGGAGGAGGAGGAGGAGGAGGTGGAGGAGGAGGAGGCAGAGGGTCATCCCTTAGGATTTCAAGCAGCAGAGGCTCCAGCGGTGGGGGATTTAGCTCAGGGGGTGGATTCAGTGGTGGCTCTTTTAGCCGTGGGAGCTCTGGAGGAGGCTTTGGGGGCTCCTCAGGAGGCTATGGAGGAGGGCTAGGAGGAGGTTTTGGTGGGGGCAGCTTTGGTGGGGGCTGTGGAGGAGGCAGCTTTGGTGGGGGTGGGAGCTATGGAGGAGGAGGCAGCTTTGGTGGGGGCTATGGAGGAGGAGGCAGCTATGGGGGGGGCTATGGAGGTGGAGGCAGCTTTGGTGGGGGCTATGGAGGAGGAGGCTTCGGAGGAGGCTTTGGAGGAGGAGATGGTGGCGGCCTTCTCTCCGGAAATGAAAAAGTAACCATGCAGAATCTGAATGACCGCCTGGCTTCCTACCTGGACAAAGTTCGGGCTCTGGAAGAATCCAACTATGAGCTAGAAGGCAAGATCAAAGAGTGGTATGAAAAGAATAGCAAGTCCGGCCAGGGGGACAATCGTGACTACAGCAGATACTACCAAACCATCGAAGATCTTAAAAATCAGGTAAGGGGCATTTTAAAACTCCAACTTGAAGCCTGTTTTTCATCCATGTAATTCAGATAGGTCCATCTTAAATTAACCACAATGTACCTGTTCACTGTGCTTGCCTATGTTCCTTTCTGGCTTCCAAAAGCAATCCAGTCTCATCAAAGGTAAATATTTGCAAGGGTGTGGTCATTGCAATCTTCATCCAATATGTGTGTTGTGTGTCTTCCAGGATGGCAGATTACTGAGAATTTTTTTTATTTTAATTAGTGTATAATGAGTCCATAGTTAAAATACATTAGATCATTTACAAATATAAAAACTGAAAGAATTGTTAAATGAGTCAGAACAAAATATTATTCAGATTGATGACAAAAAAAAAAAATACTCATTACCAACATTGCAAGAAACATGAACTCCCCAGTATGGAAATGGGATATGGTTTGCCTCTAGGGATTTGTGAATATACCTACTGTATGCCAGCTTGGAGTGTATTCATTTAGAATATGTATTTATAACAAATACATGTATGAGTCAGTCAAAAGTTGGCTGAGAGGGCCGGCCGAGTGGCTCAGTTGGTTAAGAGCTCGCTCAAGAGTGCGGGCTCTGAGCAACTGGGTCGCCAGTTCAATTCACAGCCCAAGCTGAGCAGCCGCTGAGCTGCCAACAGGTGGCAGGATGGCTCAGCTAAAAAAAAAAAAAAAGGCTGAAATACATGGAAATCACACAATACAAAAGAAAGGGACACATATGCAGGAACACAGAAATATAATTCCAGTTAATTTTCAGAAAGGGATGATATAGAAATAGAAGAGTATAGAACCTTCAAGAGGACAAATGACTCAAATTTAAGTATAAGGGTAAGCCTGCAATATTTCATATTTAAAATAAAAAATTCCCCCAAGATTTTGTAAGAGAACAACATGAAAATGCTGCTCAACTATGCTACTATAAAAGCCATATCTGAATCTGGTTTCTTCACTTTTTCCTTCAGATCCTTAATCTGACAACTGATAATGCCAACGTCCTGCTGCAGATCGACAATGCCAGGCTGGCAGCTGATGACTTCAGGCTGAAGTAAGCTAAGTGAATGGGGTACAATACTGTCACCAAAAAAAATACACAAGTGGTTGTTAACAATGACTTGGATGCCCCAAATAGCATTTACGTTTTCCTGAATTCAAAGTTAAAGAGCATTGGTTGTCAGGGCAATTTTCAATTTCCATATTACCTTTTTGGGCGATAAATATTAAAAGAAGAAAATGTATTTTAAAGGAACTGCTAGGCTTCTTTGCATTACACCACTAATATCCCTATGTGACTTAGTATATAAAAAAATTTGCCATGATATGAACTCTATACTGGCTTTTTAAATAGTCTCTGCCCAGGTACATCTCCCTTGTATAAGTTATAGCCATAATTGTATCATGCTTCTTTCAGGTATGAGAATGAAGTTGCCCTGCGCCAGAGTGTGGATGCTGACATCAATGGCCTGCGCAGGGTGCTGGACGAGCTGACCCTGACCAAGGCTGACCTGGAGATGCAGATCGAGAGCCTGACTGAAGAGCTGGCCTACCTGAAGAAGAATCACGAAGAGGTGGGGCAAAAAGTTACATGTACTTCCCCCAGCGGAAAGAGGGTTCATCGCGGTCACAAGTGCAGTCATTAAACTTTTCTGTTCGTCTAACAGGAAATGAAAGACCTTCAAAATGTGAGCACTGGCGATGTGAATGTGGAAATGAATGCTGCCCCAGGCGTCGATCTGACTCAACTTCTGAACAACATGAGAAGCCAATATGAGCAACTTGCTGAGCAAAACCGCAAAGACGCTGAAACCTGGTTCAATGAAAAGGTAATTCACCTTCCTTCATCGTGAAGCCAATGGAAGTTTGGTTATCCTTTCAAATTTTCTCATCTTCTCACTCGTATCAAATTTTCTCATCTTTTCCTTTTTTTTTTTTTAATACTCTAGAGCAAGGATCTGACTACAGAAATTGATAGTAACATTGAACAAATGTCCAGCTATAAAAGTGAGATTACTGAATTGAGACGCACTGTCCAAGGTCTGGAGATCGAACTACAGTCCCAACTAGCCCTGGTATGTTAATTCCCTCGTGAAATGACTTCGACTGTATCACACAAAGCTCCATGTTCACGTAAGAACATGCAGCACAACAGAAAATGTAGAGTTGGGAGTAAGGAAGCAGAAATAAAACGGGAGCTCTTTGCGAATGGGGAAAAAAAGCATTATTGGCATTGGTCTAAAAGTGCTGAAACTGAAACGTTGCCATTAAATGTAAAACACAAATTCTCTTCATTTTCTTTATGCTCCTATATGATGTCTTATGAAATTATTCAATAAGCTTCACTGTACTCAGTCGAACCATGGTGTTGTTAAGCCACAATATATTCTCCCCTTTTTTCAGAAACAATCCCTGGAAGCCTCTTTGGCGGAAACAGAAGGTCGCTACTGTGTGCAGCTCTCACAGATTCAGGTCCAGATCTCCTCTCTGGAGGAACAACTACAACAGATTCGAGCAGAAACCGAGTGCCAGAATGCTGAGTACCAACAACTCCTGGATATCAAGATCCGACTGGAGAATGAAATTCAAACCTACCGCAGCCTGCTGGAAGGAGAGGGAGGGTAAATACAAAACAAACAAACAAACAAACAAACAAACAAAAAATGTTTTAAATTATCCTAATTGTTTTCATTCAACATTCCAAATCTCAAGGCTTTCCTAAGGAAATGCCAGAGAATGGGAGAAAAGGGGGAGAAGGGAGGAGGCAGAGTACAGAAAAAGGCGTCCGCAACCAGTCTGAATTTCCCATGAACTTGGCCCAAGAAGGATGCTTAGGGTAGTGTGTATGTCAAGTCGTGTTTAAATAATGTTTTTTTTAAGACATCCTTGGCAGGGGAGGGGTTCGCCAAAACACGTTTTATTTATTTTCTAAAGTAACAATCATCTGGAAAGCGAGCCACCGTTTTCCAGTGACAAGAGTTAACTGAGTGTGACGTTTACTCCCTGTAGTTCCGGCGGAGGCGGTGGCGGCGGCTCCTACCGCGGCGGCGGCGGCGGCGGCGGTGGCGGGCGCGGCGGTGGCGGCGGCGGAAGTTCCGGCGGCTACGGCGGCGGCGGAAGTTCCGGCGGCTACGGCGGCGGCAGTTCCGGCGGCGGCGGCGGTAGCGGCGG